GGAATTAGAGAACTAGTCTGACATAGAGATCTTTGGAATTAAGACAGCTGAAGGGGGTGTACTGAGAAAGGCCAGCAAAAGGTGTTCAACTGTCAGACCTCAGTACTGGCATTGGAAATATCTGATTAATTTCCCAGTTATTCCACAGCCTCCCTCTAGCTCTGATTCCATGAGCCAGACAAAGCCAGTCCACCTGAGCCACGTAGAGACACAGCTGGCAGCTCACTGAGAGCTCTCTGGGTTCACCACTGCAGACAAGGAGCCAAAGAGCTCAGTGACACAGTGCCTACCCCCAGCCTCRCACCAGAGAAATCTCCTGTGCCACACAGGCCTCCTGACTTGGTACCTGGCCCCAAACTCTTGCCCCTGATGCCTGTGGTTGCACCTTGTGTGAGAAAGAACAGGGCAATTCTGAGCGAGGCATCTCTGGGGTTGAGTGAGCTGACTGATGGCACAGCAACATGACACAGCTGCTCTGCAGTGATCCAGCTGCTGGAAGCAGCARGGAGCAGAACTGATGGCATCTGGCTGGGACTGCAGACGGGTATTGAGAACATTGATCCTATAGCCAGGAATCCTGGGGGAAACAGAACTCCATTTGCCAAAGGTGCTGGCTCTGTAATGCCAATATAACAACACACTGATGCCATTAATGTCCATTCTACTAGCTCTCCTTTGATCCCTGCCATGAGAGACAGACAGGTAAGGAASAAGGAAAAGTTATTATTGCAAAAACAAGAACTTGTGAAAGGTTTATTCTAAAAATAAAGCCAAGGAGGTAAGATCTGTAACGGTGAGGTTTGAGCCTCCAAAGGTGAGAACAAAGTGAGGAAAACAGTGCTGGAGTTGTAAATGGGACAGCAGAAGAGACTAAAGAGACTGAAGACAAATCTGTCATTTATTTTGGGGGTGTGTTAGAGCCCAGACTCTACTTTTAGAGTGAAAACATTGTCTGAATTTAGAACAGTTAAGGAGGACATGACACAGGTACACGGGGTGCTGAACCATGCYCCCCCTAGAAGCCAATGGGACTTTTCCTTCTGGGCCCTTTCTAAGAAGTGGAAATTTGTAGAGAATCCATTTGTCTTGGGTCTTTATCTCTGACCCAAGATCCCAGCAAGCTCTGCAGATTGTAAAGGCACCTTCTGTAAGAAAAGAAAATAACCCACTCTTGTGTCTCAGTGCTAACCCTTAGCAACTCCAGCTGAGAGAGGGAGGGAGGATGCAGAGCCCAGCAGAAGTGGAAATAAAACCAGCACAGGCTAAAATGCAAAACCTGCAGCTGAGGATAATGCAGCAGTTACAGGTTGCAGCTCTGAAAGGCAGGGGTTGTCAGGCTGTGGAAAAGAAGTTGGATGTGTTATTGCTAGGGAAAAGGAGAGGTTTTCGGTAGGATGCTGTTGAAACAGACAGGGGAGGTTATTGGTCCGGTTTTTGTTTCCTCCTSTAGGGGAGTGGGCAGCTGAGACCTGCACAGGCTGCTCAGCATTCAGGAAGTGCACTTCCCACCCTGATTTCTCCATATCCCCTGGKAACAGTTACTGATGCCTGACTCCAAAAAGCCTGCGTGAACTTCAGCGAGGCTGGGGGTGGCGATTTCTCCATATGGGGTGCAAAAATCTTTAGAGGCCAAATTCTGTCCTTGACAGTTAACTTCTGTACAGCCCCAGTACCTTGATRAAAGTACTGTCACAGTGAACAGATGCTCCCAGCCCCAGATCATCAGCTCTCATTACTTTATATAGCACCCTCTGTGTCCATGGACAGAAAGGATGCTGAGTATCAGCAGAAGCAAATCTTCCCAAAAGAAGAAAAAGAGTATATTGTATGGTTAAGGTAACAGCAAAGAAAATAAACACAGNCTGTGTCCATGGACAGAAAGGATGCTGAGTATCAGCAGAAGCAAATCTTCCCAAAAAAAAAAAAAGAGTATATTATATGGTTAAGGTAAAAAAAAAAAAAAAAAACAAAAAAAAAAAAAAAAAAAAAAAAAAAAAAAAAAAAACACCCCACAAAAAAATAAACCAGCTAATTCGTAATTGCAAAAAAAAAAAACCAAAAAAACAAAAAAAACAAAACAAAAAAAACCCCAAAAAAACACCAAAAATACTTGGAAAGATGGTTTTGGAACAGCTCCTTTAAGTAGTTTTCAAACTTAAGCAGTGTGATTGCTCATCAGTCTCACTAGTTTTAAAACAGTGTGTTTTGGGACATTTTAGGCATAGTTAACTATTATACTTAATTGTAAAAAGAAATAGATACATTTTTACTTACCTTTTCAGCCTGGCTGTCAGAGAAAAGGATGAAAATACACAACATGTTTTAAACCTTTTTCAGCTCCTAAACAACAGAAATACATTGCAGTGTTACTGATAACACTGATCATGTATATGACTAGAAAACTCTGGATCTGACTCTGCAACTTTCAACTCAGAGAAGGAGATTCTGTTCCAACAATCCTTTGGAAGTTTACAGAATTGCTGGGTTATTAAGGACAATGAGTATCAATTACAAGTTGAAGGAGTAAGGCTGTTCTCTCAGTGTATTTGATACTCAGTTTATATAGGCGACTGCTGACAACCTACAATCATTATCAATGCCTGWATTATTCTAGTAAATAATATCACAGAACCTGTTTACTGGAAAAAAAAGGCAGTCCTATTTGATTAGCTGAAGCAGAAACCAAATCTGATTTCTATTCTCCAGCTGACACTTTCACGCAGATACTGTGTCCAGKTCAGCATGCGACTTAGTTGATATAACAAACCCCATTAGCCGCAACAAACCTGTCACCCGATAGCCTGATAGCGAAAACTTGTTGGAAACTGCTTTTCGCTCCACGTTTTCCATTGCTGCTGGACCCCCTGGCCACGCCTGCTGATGCTCCCAGGCTCGCTGCCTCACCCAGTGTCCGCAGGCTCCCGGGACAAGCGGCTCAAAGGCGGCTGGATGCCCCTTTCCCTGCCGGGGCCGGCGGTCGCCCCTCGGAGCCCAAGCCGGAGGCGCTACTCACCATGACGGCGAACACGAAGGCGACGATGTTGATGGGATAGGCGGGACAGAAGCAGGAGAGGATGCTGAGGAGCAGGTAGTTCTTGGGCCGCGGCTGCGGCGGCCCGTCGGGCAGCTCATCCTCGATGTTGGTCTCGGGGCTGCTCTCCAGAGCCCGCTTGATGTCGGCGCCGGCGGGGAGCGCGGACATGGGGCTGCGGTGCGGCGGGCGGGCGGTGCGGAAAGCCCAGCGCTCCGGGCAGGCGGGACCGAGSGGCGCCGAGCCAAGGGAGCCGCCCCGGGACGGGGCCGGGCGGGGCGGGGGGGCTGCCGCGGGGTCTCTGCGCGGGGCTGGCTTCACGGGAAGGGATGGGAACAGCACCAAGACCGACGACGTCCGCCGAGGTTCCCAGCGCCGCGTCCCCGCGGAGTCCCCGCGCTGCTCCTGCCCGGCCCCGGGAGCGCCCCCGGCGCTGCCGCAGCGCGGCCGGGGCGCAGAACCTGCGGCTGGTCCGGCCTTTTCCGAACTTTTTCAGCACTGGCAGTTAAAGGACTTTAGCCGAGTTTGCCTTACCCCGGGTGAACTTCTTAAACTCGYATTTCCAAGTGTCAGAGCTGCTTCAGCAAGGAGGGTAAAGCCGGCAAAGGCATTTCCTCGCAACTGGACCGAATTTGCTATCTCCCAAACCCAGCCTCTTACTAAACTTAGCAAAAGCATTGAAGGGCAGCAGAAACTAATGAACTTAAAGAATTATGATSAAATTATTAGCAATAGATTCAGTCCTTACTGAACATGACATCTGTAAGGTGAAATCCACTATAKGGGATGCATGAAAGGGAGCAAGGAAATTACTGCAATGTCCAAACCTTGACATATGGGGGAAACAAACACAAACAACCACACAATAAATAAATAAAGATCTGCTTCCATCATGGTTTTCAAGTTAGTGAGGAAAAATATGGCAGCCTGCATTCTGAAAGGAACAAGTTGTTTCTGCTATGTGATATTAGAAAAACCTTCTCACCTCTATCAGCAATTAATTAAAGTTACAAAAAAACAGTAAAGTGTGCTTACAGCTTTATGAATGGGACACTTTTATCACTGAGAGTTTTACAATAGACTTGAATGAAGTCACCGTTTCCCTGTTCTGGATGTTATCCTACAAAATGTAACACAATAAATACTTTTTTTTTAAGGAATAAAGGTGCAGTATTTTCACTTTCACAGACATTAATCATCTCTCAACTGTGTGTGTGGAATATAACATGGAGTGGGAAACTGCTGATCTATCAAAATGTCAAAAGAAAAGATTGTACATCTTTAGAAAAGAGTAAGAAATACCAAGTTCCATCTGCTTGCCAAYGTAGCCATTAGTGTTCAGGCACAAGCAGCTGTAAAATCTCTGATCTGTTTGTTCTCAGGGGACTTTAAACACAGTCACCAGACACGCGCAGGAAAAGCAGTTCACATCACACAACACAGTTACTGTTAGAGTTGATTTCAGTAGGGATGTCCTCTGTAAAGGATCAGCACCTTCCACGGCCACTCAAGCCTTTAATCCACAAGCACATTTTCAGGAACCATTGTAATGGCTTAGAGTTTGAATTTGCCTGCTGGTAAAATGAAACACGGTTAAATAAGAACCTGTTATCAGGCTCGTGAATGAGAACATCCAGCAGATTGGGGAAGTTTGAGCCATCTAAGGTGGACATAAACAAGCACAACAAAAAGCTGTGCCAAGTCAGGTCCACACAGCAGGCAAAGTTGTGTGCAGAGATCAGCCAGGGAAACTGTGAMCATGGGCTGTGAGGAAAGGATGTAGATTTTTTGATGTCTAACATCAGACATTAAGTTTTACTGCCTTTCTAAGGGATCTCCAAGAGAGCGATCCAGAAACTGGCAGAGCTACCAGTCACATCAACAACCTGCRTTAAATCTTTCTGAGGACAATGAAGTGCAGGTAGAATTTGGGCTCTGTTAAGMTGTRCSTGTGAATCCTTTCCCAGGGCTYTCAAAGACACAGATCTAAGCAGAAYCTGGTGTTTCTTGTGTGTTTCTAGAAATCGCAAAGTTTAATTGTTCAAGCGAGTCTGCTAACAGATGCTAATGGGATGCAGAGAAAGCAGGAGACAGGAAGTGGTGAGATAGTCAGGGCCAATTTCTGCTAATGAGAGCTCATTAAGAGGTTCTTGAGATAAAGGYTCTGTCAGGAGGCAGTTAGTGTAGCCGAATTTAGTGGTTTGTGTAGATGGGTTAAAATCCAAGAACTATATCCTGYTAGGACAAGACTGATTAAATTTTAAACGGCGCTGACTTGTAGCCACTTACTGAGGTGAGGAAAAGGAAGGAGCTCCTCAGGCGATAGTTTGGTGTCACAGGCTGCAGTGAGGGAGGGCTGTCACGGTCCCCAGGGCCTCGGAGAGTTTGTAACCTCAGAGGGAAGAAGCATTGTGCTGAGATGGCTCAGCAGAAAGCTGTGAAAGTGATCTAAGAACTTGAACTGAGAGTTTTAAGATATAGTTCCATGAACAATCATAAAAATAGCCCTCCAAGGGAGTGAGTCAGAGTACCCAATATTGCTGCTTACAGCCTTGCACTTCATGCCGAGACTTGAAAGAGAAACTGATCACTCTGCAGTGATTTTCCCAGGGATACAAGTGAGGTAAGATCATGGATAAATTGCTTATCATGATGGGCTAAGCAGATGGGCTAGAGACAGGACAGTTTCAAAATCCTTCTTTTGTTAAAGGTCTTCTCCTGATTTCAGATGCTGTGGCTTGCTAGCAGGATTCCTTGTAAGGCAGAATGTTGTCTCTCCACCACGTTTTGCTGTATTCCTGGCTGGTGGGACTCTCCTCAAAGGAGTGTTCATGGCTCACAGTGGTTCTGGAAAGTTCTGCTGTCTGCACACAAGCCTACATGAGGATCAAAAATGGTAGTTTAATGCCCAGAGGTTCTTTGGGATTAACAAGTATGTCCAGACATGTCAGAGGCCACATCAGGCTCCGAGCTGAGTTSTACTCATCTGAAAAAAAATCCTCTCATCATCTTCTAACATTTAGCCTTGCTCTATCCTTCCTGAGAGAACAATGRACCTCTTTACTTTGTACTCCTGAGGGAAGAGAAAATGATAAAATGGAAATCAAGTAATTTGGTGCCTGAAATGCTCATACTGCATCCATTGCACAGTAATTTAAAGTTCTTATATACTCCATCACAATATCTCATGATAGTAAAATCCATCCCTGTTTTGGAGGAAAGCCCATGGGGTTTGAATTATGCATACAAAGCAGTGCTGCTGCTTTTGTGACATAGCTCAATATGACTCTTCCCTTTACCTAAAAGGGGCATCACCYGGATATGGGACATGAGACATCGGATGGAGGCCTCCCACATTCTGAAATGTAGTGTTTTGGCTTGATTGAACAAGTCTTTGCACAGAAATAAGGACAGGGGAGCAAGGGAAAATGAATCCACCCTTCTCTTTTCAAAGCCAATTCTGTACATGGTCATTCTGGTCCTGACAAGTGTGTGGGAATCTCCTTCCTCTGCTGGCTGTCCATCCTCAGGATTGCCAGGTCCCTCAGCAAACCCTTCCCAAACTTAGGGAGAGTGTCTGTGAAGGAACAAAGCCAGAGCTGCATTGTTGGTTCTTGGTGCTATGAAGTTATAAGCGAATCTGTGTCACTCCTGCAGCCACTGGAGGGAAATGACTCCCTGTCTGCTCCCAGCCACCACTGCCAAGTGAAACAGTGTCTCCAGCTTTTCCTCTTTCCAGGTCTACTGCTAAATCAGTCCTTTCCTCAGTACATTTTGTGCATTTTGGTGTCCAAATTTGCTTTGTTTTGATAGCTCTTTGCTTAGAAGTCTCTATTTATAGTGAACTGAGGTGAACTGTCTTTTTAACTTCTGCCTGAACTTCATCTGCTGAAAACATTCTATTCCCCTTCCTCCTGCCCTTTTTTTTTTTTTTTTTTTTTTTTTTTTTTAATGAGGTGTTAAACCCAAATACTTCCACAATTTGGAGTTTTAAAAGTTTTGTTTACTGGCAGGGTTTGGAAAACAGCCATTATGCTTTTAGTTTGAAATGCTTTGGTATCTTTTAGCCGCTCTTCAGGTGATTATGTTGTTTGTATAGTGGAGCTTGTAAATAGAAGCAATTTGTCAGACATGTTAAGAGCACTAAACTTAAGCACGAGAAAAAATGAAAAGAGAGAGATTTGGGAGACTGCTTATTCTACCTCTTATTTAGTAATTCAAAATTAATATATTAATCAAACTATTTGTCAACACTATGCAAAGGAAACAGCTCATTTTGCCTGCTTTTGAAGTGGACAGAGTTTAATATGTGGTGTATTAAATAGTAGGGAGTGYAATGACTGGAAGGATGCACATTCCCTTCCTTAAAAATTATGGATCAGGTTTGGTTTTGCTATTTCCGTGAGGGTTACTGAGACAGCAATGGTTGTGGGGCTTTGCTCTGTGCACTGATGCTGTAACACGTATTGTGAGAGAAATGTCTTTATTACTTAAAACCAAACTTTGCAATTTCATCCTTGCAGCTGCAGATTCCCATTTTTCATTGGGGCCACAGCTGAGGGCTGTGGCTTTGGAAACACCAAAGATTTGKGATGAGCTGTTAACTTYGGTAAATTATTCATGGYAAATAAATATGTAACCAGAGAAATRTTCAGACAAAACTGAAAGTTTCCCTCACGGTCTGAGATTGCTTTTTCATTCACTAATAAYCTCCTGAAGTGCTATCACATTTGAAATCAATGAATCCTACAAGAGCTCAAACACACRTGAAGATGTCTTTGGGTGTTTTCCATGATCTGTCCCTTTCCATTCTGCYTTCTGGCTTCTGACCTGTCTGATTTAGTCAGATATCAACATTAGAGGATCTGTTCCAGCAGCTCAGACAGTGCTGGGCATCTGCTCAGTGCTGTGGGTGACCTGTGCTGTGCTGGGAGGAGCCCTGGTTTCATCTCAGTGCTCCGTTTCCCTGCAAACCAGTTCATGTTCTTGGAAGCTTTTCTCCTTGTGACTGGCAAGACAGTCTGCTGCAGTACTGAAAGGGCAGGATTTTATCTTGCCTCACTTTAATACTCTGAAAATAGAGCACCAAAGCTCAGCTCAGCCRAATTTCCTTCAGGATCCCTGTAGAGAGCTACTACAAGGGAGTTTAATGGGAGATACCTTCTCATTTATGTTTCTTTTAAACTGGACACRTAACTTTTCAGATTTCCTGCTATGAGAATTAATTTCAGACATGGCTGTGCAATGTAGTGCTGTGAAGAATGCCTTTTGGAAATATTACTGAGCATTTATTTTCCATGAAATCATGAAAACGTTTATAACAAGCCTCTTASTTTAAGAATTTGAACAATTTTGCCAGCTTGAGTGGTATTTGTAGTATCAAAGAAATGACAAACTAATTTGTAGCAGCAAGTAATACAAGATTCCTCTTTTGGATGTTTTTCATAAGTTCGAGGGCTTATGGAAATCTTGTGGGATTACTTAATATTATTTCATATGATATTAATAAAGGTGCTTGACACAGACAATTAATTTAATGAATTTCCACTGGAATCTTTTCATGGACTTCTCTGGGTCAGCTCCAGTTTCACACAACAYGAGCAACAGGCAAACACTGTGCATGTGGTTCTGTGGCTGGACCAGGCCAGTTGTGTTAGGAGCAGGAAAAGTCTTGAACAAAAGGTTAAATACACCCATTAGGGAAAGTTTGGATCTGGACTCAGCTCTGAACTTGTGGGRTGAGCTGAATACTAATTGTTCTATAAATATTTAATGYACCTAGCACTTTCCCATTGTGTAGYATCCCAAAGGAACCATATTTCCTTGTCTCACACATATACACACGTACTCTTCTTTCATTAAGGATTCCCAAATACAGTAATTAGAACCGTCATCAAATTTGCATCTGACTGCTCAACCCCATTCCAGCTTTATTTCAATGTAATTGCAGTGGCCTTGGGTGCACTGGTGAACAYGGCCTGGGACTCAGGTAATTATTAYATCAGAGATCATTTARTGAGGRAAAAGCAAGTGAGACACTGTTTGTGGGGTAGGAACCCTCCAGGAAATAACCTGCTTGTTAAYATAAGAGGACCTAATTATTTTTTCCTGATTTATACATTACATTTATCACAATTATAAAAAGAAAAGTTGAAATGCATAAATTCAGTGTTCACTTTTGTCCTGTGATAACAAGATAAGCTGCAGTACAGACACCAGCACATCAGACTGATTAATAATTACCTAAAATGTTCTGTTTTGGGACAGAATTACCATGCTACGCCCCATGGCTGTCACAAATCCCAGTGCTGTTGTCACAGGGCAAAAGGTCTTGGGAGGGCTGCTCAGAAGGTTTGGGAACTTGTGGATTTCTGTGAAGGTGAGGGGCTTTTGGTCCCCTTTAGCTATAGAAGCTCCAGTTGTAGAGGAAGATTAACAGCTCCTTGTCCATGACTGAGGACTCTGCTCACTGCTCATCCCCATAGGGCTCCCATGCTAAATGGTTGTTGATTTAATAATTTCACTATTTTTCTTTTACTCTGCATGTGTGAGAAAATCTGGTAACTCTCCTGTGGAAATTATAGAGGGCTTTTAAAAGAGCTGAACAACTTTCAGCCCTTGCTCATGCCCTGGATTCTTTTTATAAGCCTACAGTAATCAAGTTTATTTTTTWACAGGAGCAAAAGCTTGTTTTTCTGTGATTTTTCTGTCAGTCACTTAGATTATGTGTGTCACAGCTCTTCCTCTTCTCCTAGAACAAATGGGGACAGCTGGACATTGCAGCCTTCCCTCCACATTTTTAATGCAAAGTTTTCATTACAGAATGTATGTATTTTCCTTACTGCAACCTGCCCTACCCTATAAGCATGGTTTGAAGAGCCATAAGCAAGCACCAGCAGCCCTTGAAAGGCAAGATTTGCTGGAATATTCTGAGAAATGTTCCAATGAACTCTGTGTGCAAGACAAGGCTTTGAAGACTGTTACAGTAACCAGGCCCTAGAAATWAATTAGCTGCTGGAGTTGTCAACCACCATGAGTTCTTTTAAAAATCCACTGCAATTTATAGCACAATGACCAAATCTGTCATATGATAGTTGGGTGTAATTCACAATGTAATGTATTAAAATACAGCCACCCTAATAAAAAGCCAAATAAATCATCTGGGAAAGAAACAACTGTTTGCCAGGGCGGGGGAAAGGGTAAGATATCAACAATGAGAATAGAATTTGTTTTCAGCCTTCCCTACTTCAGGGTTTGCTCTTGCCCCTGTGAAGTGCACTGCAGAAGTCTGGATCAACAATAGAATATCAGAATCTTGAACATTGYTAATCAGGACTGACACCACTAAAAAGAATGCTATTGTGAGGGRCTGCCATCAGCCCAAAGCCTGCAGCAGATTTGTGTAGCTGGAGCATTCCAGCTCCTTTGGGAGGTGTGTTCTGAAGGGAAGAGTTTCAAGGTTGCTGTGCTTTGTGCAAGAATGAGGTTTTCCCTGTCTGTTGAAATACAACTCTTATTGCCCTTCTTGAATACAGAATAATCAAAGATCTGACTTCTACTACATCAGGTAGATCAAAAAATGTTTACATCCCATTTTGATGTTCAGTGACAGATGATTAGAAAGAATAYAAGAAACAGGGGATTTCAGGGTGTTTCAGGCTCTGGTGTCTCCTCCCAGCTCATTGTGACCAGCTGTTCATGATTTAAAATCAAGGCAATTAAGACTGGGACAGCTGAGAACTCTCCCCAGCTGCATTTGAGCACATCTTTGTCTGTCTTTGAAGACTTTCTGGTTGTRGTGGGTCATTTTTCCTATTGAGAAATGTATTCTGTGTGTAGGTTTGTGCTGCACAGACTCAGTTACCAGATCAAACTGCTGGTTACGAGATCATCCATGGCACTTGTACTAATAATCTATTCTGATTTTACACTCAGCAACATTCATCAGGGTCAATGAGAATCTTTCCACTGACCTTAACATGAGCTGGAGCTGATCATAAATATCCTGGGGTTTGCCAGCCTGAGTTTTTATCTTCTGCAATGCTACARCAATGATATTTATTGAAACTTAGCAGAAAGAATTGTTGTTATTAGTGTGCCAGGCTAAATGTAATTTCATCTCTTTAATGTGCTGGTGTGGTACATTAATTTAMAAGACAGCAGAACAGAGTGGTGATRCATAAATCTGAAATTCCAGTTAGGGAGATGCACCCCAGTTTCTGAATACCCCTACAATGACATTTCTTTCCAATAAGACAGTCTATCTCCAAGAAAGAGATGTTTATTGTATAATCCCTGTTTCTAAGATGCAGCTTTTTATGTCCAATATAAAATGCAGTGGGACTACTGCTGATATAATAGGATTTTTGGCTTCTTTTCCATCATGGTGAAATTTTGCCCAGGAAAAGAGAATAGAGGTGACAATTTTAGAACCACTGCAAAGCAGAAGAGAAGGGTGAGTGGCAGAGCACTGATCTGAGCAGCTCCACCACACGCTCTGGTGACCTTTAGCAAGTTGCTTGCACTCCTGGTGCACCTCCAGATGTTAAATGGGTTACTTTGAACCTCCCTTATGAGGGTCTGCTGAAATTATGAGAGTCTAAGACTGAATTGTTCATGGAAGTATCTGGGAGATACCTGTAGGAAAAAACTCTCAGAAGTTTRAAGAGCCCAAATCCTCTTTTATCTGCTTAAGGGCCTCTTAGGGYTCTGTTTCAGTCCTTTAAATTGGCAGATAAAGGCTTGAGTAGAGCTAAGGATCTTGCCTGAAGAAACTTGGTTTGTCAAGAAGCACGAAAAGGAAAGGTGTTCTTTTGGTCCAGAGGAGCTTTTTGCCACCTCAGAGTAAAAGAAGCAGATTTTTTTTTCATTCTGCTAATCCTGGAGAGGAAAAAAAACACAATCTGCTCTCTTATTAGAGGAGAAACCCCTTACTACCAGTGGCAATAGGAGAGAGAAGAGGCATCATCAAACAAATGTGTACATAAGATACAAAACCATTAGAAACTCCTAACATTCACACTGGCATCCTGCTCTGGGAGCTCACAGAGCTGCTCAGACATTAGCTAATTACATTTGGCACAATCATCTCATCTTACATGCAGGCAGACACATTAGGTTGCCTCCTTAGCTGGTAGAAAGTTTGGATTTTGGCAGGGTGGCTYGTGCCCTCCAGCTGAGGACAAGCCCCTGGGTTTCCACTTTTTATATGTAGTGAAATTTCACAAACTCTCCCTGCAGTTCCATACCAAGATGAAGACTCCACCCTCTATAACCATAGTTCAACCAGGAGCTCCCAAGCTGCTAAATTAAGATTTCTTTTTGTTGACCACAGGGTAACACAACAGTGCTGAGTATGAAACTTGACCCAGTGAAATGCTCCCAGAAGAGCAGCAGAACTAGGGGGTCTCAAAACTCATGAAAGGCTGCAAGGAAGTTAAAAGAAATCAAAGAAAATGATGGAATTGAGGTCTTGGAGATCAGAAGGAGAGCTGATTGTGCTCATCTGGCAGAAGCAGTACCACTGATTTCTGAGCAGCAGATCAGGCCTACCCAGTTTTTGGAGGGAAGTTTTTCACTGGATTTTGAGATGGAGGAAAAGAAAAGCATGGGCAGGGAAAATATGACTTTGTTACACATAAAAATGCTGATTTATCACTGCTACATACAGCATGAGAAAAGTGGGAGCACAACAGAACTTTAAGAACTTACTTTCCTTTMATGTCTGTAAGTCAAAGAAATCTGTATTCTTGGCCCTTTACCCTGAGAAACAATTATCTCTTGATAATGGGGGGTGGGGGAAAAATAAGGCAAAAAGAATCAGTAACAGATTACACAACAGTGCTCATTGTACTCACCTAGCCCTTAAGMCAGCTTCCCCTTTTTGTGGCTGAAGGATCAACAGCATTTCTGCCCAATGGGCCCTCTGGAAGCTTTGACAGGCAGGGAAGCAGCTCATTAAAATCATCAGCTAGGAAGGTCACTGGGTCACCAATTCCATCATCCAGCAATTGTGACCCACCAGGACATACRTTTTTGAACCCAGACAGGCTCACAAATATCATGTATTTATCACTGTCTGTGAGTTCAGGGGTGTCATTCTACTGCCTTCCCTGCAGAGYGGTAACAAACATGATGAGGTAATCAGGGGAAAATGTAAAATGTACCTTCAACTGGAAACCTTGGAATTGCATCTAATGATTGCTTTTTAATGCTGATGTTAATAAGGCAAGAATTAATCCATAAGCATGAAGTAACTACAGAATAAACTTGATGCAAAAATAAAAGAACTGAATTAAAATAAAAAGAATTGATTAAAAAAAATTGTCTAAAATCTTACAACTACACTGTATTTGGGCTATTTTTTATAAAGGAGGGATAAAATGAAGAGCAGATAGAAACAATGCTGTTTAGATATGGAAATCGGTGTATCTATACTGAGAAAGATGCTTGTTACACTGTAGGTTTTTTTAGAGGCATATTATAAAACATCYGGACATACAGATAGTCTGATCTGGAAATGCTGGGTACTAAACCTTTGCTTTTGAAGGCATGATAACATTCAGTATAATGCAGAATAAGCTGCTGCCTCTGAGAGATTTGCCTCGGTCCTGCAGCCGAGAGAACAACTGTGAGGAGAAGACAAAACACCAGGTGGCATCGTTGCCATTTTGGTCAGAGATACCTGGTGGCACTGCACAGAGGAAAGCGCTGTAAATGGACTCTCTTCCTTTCCTCATGTCCTTCCTCGCCTGACAATATCTTCCAGAAGTACAAGATTTTGAGAAGGAGTTGTTGTTTTCTTTTCAGTGTTGCTGAAGCAAAGCAAATGTATCGGCAGAATTCCTGGAACAGTGACAAATTACAAAACCTGAATATCTCCTGGATGCAACAACTGGGAACAAACCCCCTTTTCAGAATACCAGTTAMTGTTCCTCTTCGAGTGTCCTAACAATTTATGACAGATGTCACTTACACGGAGGCAGTAAATAAATTAACAATGACATAATAATCAAATTATACTGATTAATAGGCCAATGGTTGTTATAACATTTTTCCCTTGAAGAATTCAAAGTGCTCTATAAAAAAAATTAATCTTAATTTAATGAGATCCTAAATAACTTTATCTGGTAMCTTTTCAGTGCAGGGATTTCACACACAGGTGTYGGYTCTCCCCACCCTCATCATACAAAAACTGGGCTCCTCTCACCTCACAGCTGCAGCAATTCTGGAGGACAGACCTGTACAGCAGTCAGAACCCTCAGAAAGGTGTCTGGGTGAATTTTCAAATCAGGATCCATCCATATATTCCCAGTTTTTCTGTACATAGTGGTCACCCTTCACAGACTCTGGCAAGCAAGGCAGGAAACCTTTAACAGAAAGAACAGCAATAAAAGAGAAGCTTTTGGGARCAAATGCATGTCTGATTAATAACTCTGAGTTTGCCTGGCATTTTTGCCACTTCACAGCCTCCACAGCTTCCACRTTAAAAATGGCTCTTTGGGGAATGCACCACTCAGTGTAATTCTGAATGAATCATAGGATGTTTTGGGTTGGAAGGGACCTTTAAAGCGAATAATGAGAAAGAGCTTTACTTTATTGGACTCGTGAACCAATTCCCTTTGCTGGGCATTGAAATCAAGGCTTCTTCATTGTTCATCAGATTCTGGRTGACAAACTTGGGTATGAAAGGAAATAATAAAATCCCAACAAATGCTTCCATTTTACTATAGATTTGTACCCTTCATCTTTTCTCTGTTTTGTTTGGCCCCTGTGGATTTTCCAGTGCAATCAGTGCCTGTTCTGACACACTTTCTGATTGTCTTTACTATCCCTTTYCCCTGTGCTATCATCATTCTCCTCTCTCCATGTGCTGACACAAATCTCACTGATGTAAGTGCTCTGCAACACGCAGCCTTTACCATTTCCCTCTGAATAGAGATACAGGAGGAGAATTACACATTACAATAAAAATAAAACTCTTTTGAGAAGACTGCCATTTTTAAATGTTCTGTCTAAACTCTGCAGTGCTGCTTTGACAGTCCTGAAGACTGATGTTCTAAACCTTTYTAGTCTGTGCATAGCTGGGCTGTGCTGTGGCTTCCATTGCAAAGCTGAGGATTTGGCAGCATGTCGTCAGGAAGGGCTGCCTCCCACCAGTTTAGGATGCATGTTACTGGGACAGCAGGAAAGGGGTGAAAAATTTCCTCATTAAACCAGCAGAAAAGGAAACTCATGGTTGTCACCTTCAGCAAGGCCAGTTCCACACTCAGCAGTATCCTGCTGGTGTGGATGTACAGACAAATCCTTATTATCCCTGGCTGGATTATCCAGGTAACTGGAATCATGTCACACACAGCCCTTTAATAACCCCTCCATCCACTATTTTGAGAAGGAAAGCTCTGTTCAGTGCATTCTTACACCACATTGCTCWTATTTGTTTGTTTTTCTCACTTCATGAGTGAGCCAAGACAAGCAGTACGCTGCAGTCAAGTGTTCCTCTGTGATTCAGCTTCCTTGGCACGCAGAGCGTGGAAAAACCAGCCCTATTGTAAACGAGACAAGCGCCTGGGGAAAGCAACGCCTCTGCCATGGCTTTGTGTCTCCACGAGAGGGGTGACCAGCCTTGTCAGAGCAGAAACAGAGCTTTCAGTGCTCACAGGCAGCCCTTGGCAGGGCAGGGCTGGCACAGAGAGCTGAGCACGTCTGTCTGTGCTGGCAAAGTCAAAGCAAACCAGGGGTTCTGTGCCTCCTTATCAGTTTTGTCCATCTTCATCATGTTCTCTTTCAGTTCTCCTGCCAGCTGTCTTAATCTTTCCGTGTCTTTTCCAAAATACTTCATTTGTTTCAGAGCCTGGTATTTCTGACAATATCGCCCTTCCAGCCTGCTGCAAAAAAAAAAACCAAACCAAACCAACCAGCCAACCAAAAACAATTTTAAAGTTAAAGCTCTGTTTTAAACATTTAAACATATAATGATCATTATGTTAACTGGGAAGACACTAAAGAAGGCAGAAAACAATGAATGTGGAGAACACATTTTATGTGCAAGCCTGTGGGCTTTAATAGCAGCTTTTGCTTTTGCAGTGTTCTGTGTACATTCCTATTTTACAAAGATATTAGAATTGTTTACATTTTATATCAACTTTGTGCTGTAAGTAAGAAAAGCTTTAGAATCAAACTTCAGACTGTGTGTGGGCTGAATYTATTATTCAATTTTTATGTGAAAARGACTACAATRTCCAGAGTAAATATATCCAATGTATATGCCCAGAAGAGTCATTCAGAAATACCCCCAAAACATTGCTGGAAATATTTAATCTGTAATATATTTTTTTGTACACAGTCATAAAACTGACCATCATTGTCCCTATGTTCTTATTTTAATATCAAGCCTTATAAAGTCACCTTTAACAGGCCTGAAGACAAGTCCTAGAGCTGGTCAGGAATAAGTTGRGTGGTTTTAAGAGTTACAAGAAACAGTCTCTTCCACCTCAAGTCTCACTGGGGTGTCATGTAAAGATCAACCTGCTTCTTCATGTACTGCTGTGATCTTCTGCCTCATATTGGCAYATAAGATGGATTTGCTTTTAATGGAAAAGCTTTCAGGGTAGCTAAAGCAAGATAGAAAGCTGGAAGCAACATCCTGTGGTAACCATTTTGTGGCAAATGCTGGCGTTGCTCAGAACATACAGTGAGATCTCCTTATTCTCAGTAAAAATCCAAATTTAATACAATGTACAGGTGTAAATTTGTAACTCAAATTTATGAAATATTTTTATGCATTAAAGTAAGAGTAAATTATATTGAATTTGGATTTTTCTCATTTCATTCCTGTCTCATTCTGCCAGGGAAGTGCCCTCGTATCACATTGGGATGTACTAAAAGTGCTTCAAGGTTTCCATGGCCTGTGCTGCTCTCGTGTCAGAAAATGCTCCCTGACATTTGCATGCCAAGTGCTTTGCATGGAGAGAGCTGAGTTTGTACAGCACATCATGTGCTCCAGAACTGGTTTTGTGCCCTTTCCCTGCCTTCTGGGCCTCTGCTTCCTTGWTGTTACACTCTCGTGGTCTTTAATGAATGGCAAGAACACTCTGCAGTTCTTCTGGCAGCAAACTGCAAGACACAACCAGGTTTAAAATAATGTTCAGCATCCTTAACCTCCTTTTTGTTTATGGGCACCTTTTGACACCTCTTCATGCTTTACTGTAGGGATAAAAAGAATGCTGTAAAAACTTGCCAATTYAATAGTGCATTGTTCTCCCCCTTCCAGAGAAGATGCCATGTATGCTGGCCTGAATGAGACATCCTAAAGAAACCTGCTACTTAGTATTTCTGAAAATTAAAGTTTCTCCAGAGAAAAGCAGATTTTTAAAGAGGTTTCAAGACAACTACCCAGATAATGAACCCAATTCATTAATCATTGTTGAAAAGATAAGCTTTGTTCTTTCAGCTGTAAAAAAAAAAACCAACTATCAAGTAGAAGATACTAAATATTTTTTACTTTAGGTGCTTATAAAAATAGTGGTTTAGAAAATCAGGTAGATTTGAACAAACTATGAAGAAAGCCTCTTTTCTGCCCATGCTGTGCTAGTGGCATAACTGTCAAGTCTTGTGAATCTCTAAGCCTACAGTATCACTTTGCCATTCTTCTTTTAAATGTCATATGGAATTTAATACATTTAACATCAACAGGTATCTAATTACAKCTCTGTGTCTCCTTATCAGCATCCACCACCACTCCAGACGTCCTCAAGTAGCCCTTCACTGGCTGCAGTTTCCAGACTCCCCCTCTTTGAGCAGATCTCTCTCCAAAAACACCCTTTGCTCTTTCTGCCTCCCACTGTAAGGGGAATGCTTTTATTCTCCRCTCCCTTAAACACCTGGAGAGTCAATTTATCTCACTGCTTTCTTTCAAATTAACATCTCTGTTGTCCTTCCCACTGCTGTTTCATTCCTGCTTTGGTGCCAAACCCCTGGAGAAACAGACACACCCATTTTCTGTGCATTATTCCTTCCAACCACTCATGCAGTAAAACACCTGTCAGACTTCTTAGCAGAAATCCCAGTGYTAGCTGTCAAATCCTAAATCATCCTCTGAGGTGCTCTATGTGTCCCACATGGCAATAACTGACATTTTACTGAGCATGCAACACCTTGAATTTGTAATCCCCAAATTCAAAAGGTCTTTTTCCTATATTTTTGTGAAGCTCTGCATACAGAATTGGAAATGGCTGCTGCATGGTGGCTGTGTTAAATARCAGCCCAAATTAGTTCTATGTTTTGAAAGTAAAAACCTTGCTTGGAGGAAGCCAATCCTTTCATTCATCTCCACCTGGAGAAACTGAAAGCAAATAATCAAGCTTTTTTATATTATTACTAATATTTTTGAAATATTAACCTCCACATCTGTAAGCTGGTCAGATACTAACAAGAAAAGAGAAGAAAGCAGAGAAGGATTTAGTCATTTCACCTGGTTTTGATTTCTATGCCTTAGTTAATAATCTGTGATACAGGGTACTTTATTTACCTGTTCTGCAGGAATCTAACTATGATAAATCAGTTGAAGAGGCATTCATCAATCTCAAGGAAAAGCCACAAATTCAGGAATAAGTTATATAAGGAAGACCCTTTGCACAAATACTTACCTCTTCGAAAAAAAAAAAAAAAAAAAGATTTTTTTTTTCAGAGAAGTCAAAGCTATATTGCTATCTGGAAAGCTCTGGCAGAAAAAATCCAGATAGTGTTTAATCTCATACAATTCCCACATTTCCCCTCTCATTGTGAAGAAAATGTGTGCCATCTGAACTGGTCTGCACATACACATTTTTCATTACACAAGAACCATGAATAAATAAGCCAGCATTTTGTACATGTACACCCTATACTCCCTGTCTTGGAAAATGAGATTTTAAATTTTCTTTAAATATGGTGAAGAAAGCAAGCTTAGAACTCTAATCTTCTTTGTAAAACCTTTGACTGATGAGGTGGGGACTGAGTGATAAATGATATCTCCTCAGTGGTGACCTGTTGTTCTACCACAGCTGCCACAACCACAGCTTCAACATTTACCTCTGTCAACATGATGTAACATTTAAACCTTTGCACTAATGCAGGTCCTCACTCAGCCACCAGCACTGAAAAATCCAATTTGTATAAGCAAAACTACCACTGGACAAAAGGCTTTATATTGAGTTAGGAATTCTTAAAAGAAATCTTTCTGTAAGAGTCCCACTCAGCTGTATCTGCTGATTATTTGCTGYTACAGAATCTCTTTCCCAGCTTTGAGATATAAATATGTGCACTCATATTGTGTGTGCTCTCAAAATTGTATCTGTATGAGCTATATGAAGATTTGTGAATTTGGGCTATGAGGCTATAAGGCAGCTATACTTGCAATCCATTAATTGTTTTTCCTTCTATTCTGTTAAATTGTGTTTGCACTTGAATATACTTCCAGCAATATATTGTAGCACTGAACTTCTAAGTTTAATCATGCTTGAAAACACTTCCCATTGCTTTAAATTTTCYGCCAGATAATTTAATTTGGTGTGCAATAAATCGGGTGTCAAGGGAACTTGTGAATAACCACTSTCTAATCACTTTTTTTTCCATGCACTCCATGATGTTACAGAGATCTGTCACAACCTTGTCTCCAGCCATTTCTTTCCTGCTCTGAGGAGCCTCAGTCTCTTTAATTGGTTCTCATGTGGGGAGTCATTCCATATCTCTACCATATCTCATCACTTTCTTTCAATCAAACTTTACTACTGAAACAAGTCTGGGMGAATGGGAAGGACAGGAACTGATAAAGCACCTAAAAATATTTCTATTTTTCCACAACGTTTTCTTCTTTTTCTTCCTCCTCATTATTAGGATCTTTCTAGCCTTTTTAACAGCTCCTCAATAGTCCCAGAACTCTCTCAAAAGAACTGACTGGTTCTACCCCCTACTGACTGGTAATTTAGAGTGTAGTAGAGCATGCTGTCAGCCTAATAATGATAATATAAATATCAATTAAAAGGTAATTAGCAATACTAAATGGCAAACGTGCCTTTCTGGTCCACTTTGACTTGAAAGGAAGTGAAAAAAATTAAGATTACCCAGTTTTGTGCTGAACTGCATTGCAGAGCCAAAGGATAAATACTCTGTCAGGTCTATCAAGTGGTCAGAGGCAGAAAAAAGTTTGCAACCAGAAGCTGCAGAGCTGGAAAACCTGGGGAAAATCCAGAGCTTTAAGCATTTATGCTCTGCTGCTAGCCTGTGTGTGGGAAACTTGCTGWCAAACTCTCTCTTACCCCAGTTTACTGGTTGGTTCCTGTATGTAAAGGGGTGAAAAAGCCATTCTCCACACACACCAGACTGGTTCTGTCCTCTAATTTATCAGGCTAATTCTATATAATGCTACTTTTACACCTCTGTTATACATGGRCATGGTTTGTCTTGACTGGGAAAACAGACACAAAACAGAACAGCTTTGAAGAGCTTTACCCTGCAAGTCAGAGCATAAACTGTTCACTGCTCTTACCAACCACTCATGAATAATTTAAATACACGTTATGTCAACATTATTATATTGACTAAAAAATGTTGAAAACCTAAATTACTATTTACTTTTAGCAGTATAAAAGTTCAGAAGCAAGACATCTTTTACAAAATACCCATCACTGTCATACATAATTGATAGAATAAAATCAGCTACTAAATATCACTTAATAGCTGGCTTTGTTCTGTAATGATAATGTATATGGAATTCCTGTTGAGTTCAGTGGGATAACCCTCCAAGGGAAGGCTGTGGKTATATACATACATCTATTACTAAATGTATTTAATTTGCATATTTATTAGCCAAAAGAGAAAAGGGAAAGAAAACACAACTAGATTKGGCTGGGATCTCAGTATTTTTTCCTGGTTCTGCAGGCTGCAATCAGAGAGGAGGATGYTGTGCCACTGGTTTGACTGCACCACTCCCTGCTGACTGCACAGGGACAAAGTCAATCCAGGATTTGTTTGTGGTGTGTGGCACAGAATAAATAACRATCTGCTGAAATGGTTATTTCTTGAAAGAAAAGAAACAACAACATACAAAGGACCAAAGATCCCCAGCACCTGGTTTCTTCCCCTTGGATTCCAGCAGGTCAKTATGGAATGGGTCAAACTGTTGGATTTGAGAGTCAAAGCTTCCCAAAGCCATTGTGTGGCATAGAGATACTGGAACAAGTGTTCACTGGGAAGTGGAGAAACCAACATGTTACATTCTAGTCAAGGAAAGAGCCCAGCTGGCACYGTGTGGGCTCAGACAGACACATCCAATTATTTCTGTAGTGGGAGTTTTTAATTGTCCCAGTGGATTCCAGGCACCTCTCAAAGTTTTCCAATGGGCTTATCTTGATGACGTGCCCATGCTTTCAAACCTGGAATAATTCTGGCATTTATGCAGTGGATTCTGGGGGTTTGGATTCTACAGGAACTTCTTTGCCTTTGAGTAGAAACTGTGTGAGTTTAAAATGTTGGACCCATCTTTTTCCAAACTAAGATTATCTGTGGCATTCAGCTTATTCCATGTGCAAATATAAATATAGAAAGACGCATTTTTGCTGAGCAGTTGGGTTAATGATCTTACAACAGATTACACAATGTGTATTAGTGACTGATATAAATTACAGAGAAGCAAACTCAGTAACTCACTGGGATTCAGTGATTTAATGCTAGAATTTAACAGTAGCTATCAGTAAAGACAGACTCTGACACCACCAAATCCTGAAATTCTCAGAATACAAGTTCAGCAGCTGAACAGCATCTCTAAGTGTACCTGTTATAGGTCTGTGTCACTGTGAGTTTCACTCATGTCCTACCACGGAGGGCAGGACATTAATCTTCYTTCAAATTTACCTTTCTGCTCCAGGGTGGCTTGGAATCCAGACAYTGGTATAAACACTAATAAAAGACTGTAAGGTCATCCTTTTTTTCCTTTGTCACTGACTTCTTCATGTGGCTGTCTACTGTGGGAGAAAAGAAAGAGTGAAGTTAGAAAAATTGTATGTGAAATTAAGGCAGAGCAAATAAAACTGTTTATTGTATTCACATCATCCCACCTCCTCTTTGTACTAGCTTATAAAAGAATACTTAGATGCATTTCTAAATTGTTAATGACTACACTTATTAGCATTTGTTAATATTGAAGTTTGGATATTTCTATGTTTACCAGGATATATAATTTTCATTTATTTATAATATGCTTACAGTAYTTTATAAATTATAAATACAGTATTATTTGTATTCACACATTTATACTACTGYTTATTATTAGCAATTAAGCGTTTATGTGAAATCAGATTTGGAGGCAGAGGAAATAATGTGACTGATTTGTTTGAGAAAAGATGCTGACACGTTGCTGGCATTCCATTCCATTTTGTTTTCTATTGGAATCATGCCACTGGGGTAGYAGGATTCTAGACACGAGGCCAAAGTTTCAAGATGTGCCTCAAATTCTGTTCAGTTTTTCTAGGGTTACCATATTGTGGGCACAGAAAATAATAGCGATTAAATTGGAAAGATTCACCCCAATGAGAAGAGCCTTGGCCAAACAAATGTAACAGAAAACTGAGCTTGYTACAGGCTGTGGGTGCTGCTCATTCACTGCTGTGAGCCTGTTTAGGCTGTTTCCTCCTTCCATCACACTGTCTCTCAGGAATACYTTGTTCCTTTCCCACCTTTTCTAGATGTTCAATTAGGGACCATTGACGATGCTGGATATTTAGTGTCACTCTAGTAAATATGATATTTTTCCATTGAGAATTACTCAGCCTCTCTCTGCTACCTCTTCACTTTTTGATCTGTTTTTYAGTCCGAGGACTAAATAATGGTTATATATTGTTGTCTCAATTCATGACTAGAGCATGATGGCATTTCTGATGACTGTGGAAAGTGAATTTTCCAAGCTGAGAGTCAGTTCACGAGAAGGTGGCACCTGGGAGTGACAAAAGCCACAGCTAAGTGATGAGAAAAGACTGCTGGAGATGGATGAGCTTTTGACGCACTAAAGCTCCGAAGGTCTGTAACCTCCAGAGGAGTCATTCTGTCCTGCTGAGCAAGGATTTAATCATCACCCAGCAAGGGCTGGCAGATGGAAGACAACTAAAGTGTTTCAACAGGCATTAGAGGTGCAGTGGGAGCCAAAGGACTGAAGACAATTCAGTGCTCAAAAGGAGAGAAAACCTGAAGAAGGTTGTAAGTAACAGGTGTGGAGTAGTGAAGAAACCGAGCCACTTCTGCTGAGTGCAATTCTTTTTTGTTCTTAATGCTGTGGTCCCACTCGGGGAACAAAAGCATGGCACAAGCTCACCAGGCTTTTTCCTTTCATTTCTGAGGTGGCTATAAAACCTCTCCAGAGTTCACTCACCTTCTTCCTGCCATCTAAAATTCGTCCTTTTTAAACCACTTCCAGCACTTTTTTCCCCACACTTGCCAAGTTTACAGCTGCTCACTTACCCAGACTTTAAGCATTATCCCTTTCTTGAACATCCAAGGAAACWGTCTCAATACCAAGGAATGACAGAAACTGGAAATTGTTGCTTTTTAAAAACACTGCCCTCACATCACCCAAAGCCCTCTAAGCTGACTTACRTGTTTATTTGTTCCTTTGACTCCTCCACATCAGAAAAATATTTGGGTGGCTGGAACTCAGTTCTTTCTCATGTGCCCTGAGCCTGCTGGGCTGCTTTCAGTGTGCTCTTCCCCTCCAGTGATTCCTGACCAAGTACATGAAGGTATTCTCCACTTTTCTTCACAGAACTGAGGTGATGCCTGCCAAAAATCATCACAACTTGGTCAGTGGTCTGATCACACACTATTAAATTGATTGATTTCTCTGTTGCCCACCAACCTAATATTTAAAGGTGATTTCACATTCAGGAATTCAACATTAGTATCTCTGTCTGCAATATGACAGCAAAGGACAACAATTCCCCAGTATGAACTGGGAGAACTTTCCTTTATCTCTTTCAGCATCACACAGGTGAACTATTGGATGTCTTGAGCTCAATATCACTTTGTCCAGTACTTGGTTCAAAAACCTCCCTGCCTAATTCTAATTATTAGCAGCACTGGGCTCTCTGTGTGAGCTCAGCTGTCACTGCCCTGGAGCTGCCTGTTCACTGCTGAATTCCACAGGCTCTTGGAAGGCTGCACCGTTTAGGAAAAGGGAAGGTGTCAGTGCAGCCTGTCAGTGAGCTGGAGTGGAGAGAACAGGCAGGGTATTACTGCAGGAGAAGGAAAGAAAGAAGTGACTGTAATGTGCTGCCTGTGGGATGACAATAGA